CTCCCCGTTCCCCACACCCACATTGCTGCTCCGAGCCGCTGCCCCGCTCACACCGGGCTTTGTTGTTGCCACCTTTGTGTGTGTTCGCAAAGGGAAGGCGCCACCTGAATGGTGAACGGCAGAAATCCGGAGCTCCGCGGTGTAGGATTAATGATATTAACTCGATATCGCAGCATTTTGATAACGGGATTTTTGTAGTCAAACAATGAGGGTAATCCCAAAGCAGAGCGCTGCGCTGTAGGAGTGTAATGCACAGATTGTCCTCTTTTGCCTTCTGGGTGGAAAATGGAATCGGGATGCTTGTTAGAAGACAAGACACTTTCAAATTCGTGCCTGTTAGATGAGATTCTTTCAGTTTTTTCAGTCTTTTCAGTCTTGTTCCTGAAGATCACGGAATAATTTTGAGCAGGAAGCTCTGCAGTCATCGGTGCAGTTCCCTCCTCAGAGCAAGCAACAAGAACCTGGAAAGGAACAGTTCCCATCCCACAGCAAGCGCCGGTGAGATCTTCAATCGTGTTTAATTTATTCCTTCAGCTAAGCCAGGATAGGGAAGGCTCTTTCCAGCCACTCCTCCCAATTTTCCTCACAAAATCTCTTGTTCTGTTTCAAATTCTTGAGGCACCGAATAAGCCTCCTCTTTGCATTTCATGAGTTAAACAGGATGAAGGGTTACGCCTCCAATGTAGAAAGGTTTTAAGTTAAACAGTATAGAAAATATTTAACTAAATGGTATTATAAGCTTTTCTTAGTGGCTTATCAACTTAAACCCATCACTCAACAGTGTTGGCACGAATTTGCACCTAATGGAAAAATTCTGCAAGGCTGGAGGATTAGAACATCCTTTTCTTCAAAACTCAAGCTTTTGGGCAGAATTGGAGATTTTTTTTCTTTTATTTCATTTTTGTACTTGTTGCCTCCAACCAAAAGTAACTAAAACATAAGAAAGGTAGACATAACTCTGACAGTGACCAGATGCTTCAAGGAAGAAATGTATATTCCATTATTTTATATTCAACAGAATTTTGTGGNTTATCCATATTTCAGGATGGATTTTTTTAACCAAACACATGGGGGTTTTGCTATCAAAATTATCCATGTAATTCTGCAGTTTGCTTGTTTATCCAGAATTTCAGGATGGATTTTTTTAACCAAACAAAAATGGGGGTTCTGCTATAAAAATTATCCATGTAATTCTGCATTTTGCTTGTTTAACCACAATTTCAGGATGGATTTTTTTAACCAAACAACACATGGGGGTTTTGCTATAAAAGTTATCCACTAATTCTGCAGTTTGCTTGTTTATCCAGAATTTTAGGATGGATCTTTTTAACCAAACAACACATGGGGTTCTGCTATAAAAGTTATCCACTAATTCTGCATTTTGCTTGTTTATCCATATTTCAGGATAGATTTTCTAACCAAACAAAAATGGGGGTTTTGCTATAAAAATTATCCATGTAATTCTGCATTTTGCTTGTTTATCCATAAATTCAGGATGGATTTTTTAACCAAACAAAAATGGGGGTTTTGCCATAAAAATTATCCATGTAATTCTGCAGTTTGCTTGTTTATCCATAATTTCAGGATGGATTTTTTAACCAAACACATGGGGGTTTTGCTATAAAAATTATCCAGATAATAATGCAGTTTCCTTGTTTAGGCACAATTTCAGGATGGATTTTTTAACCAAACAAAAATGGGGGTTTTGCTATAAAAATTACCCATGTAATCCTGCAGTTTGCTTGTTTGACCACAATTTCAGGATGGATTTTCTAACCAAACTTATGGGGGTTTTGCTATCAAAATTATCCATGTAATTCTGCAGTTTCCTTGTTTATCCATAATTTCAGGATAGATTTTTTAACCAAAAAATGCATGGGGGTTCTGCTATAAAAGTTATCCAGATAATTCTGCAGTTTGCTTGTTTAGCCAGAATTTCAGGATGGATTTTTTTAACCAAACAAAAATGGGGGTTTTGCTATCAAAATTATCCATGTAATTCTGCATTTTGCTTGTTTAGCCACAATTTCAGGATGGATCTTTTTAACCAAACACATGGGGGTTCTGCTATAAAAGTTATCCATGTAATTCTGCATTTTGCTTGTTTATCCATAATTTCAGGATGGAATTTCTAACCAAACTTATGGGGGTTCTGCTATAAAAATTATCCATGTAACACTGCAGTTTCCTTGTTTATCCATAATTTCAGGATGGATTTTTTAACCAAAAAATGCATGGGGGTTCTGCTATAAAAGTTATCCAGATAATAATGCAGCTTCCTTGTTTATCCATAATTTCAGGATGGATCTTTTTTAACCAAACACATGGGGGTTTTGCTATAAAAATTATCCATGTAGTTCTGCAGTTTGCTTGTTTAGCCATAATTTCAGGATGGAATTTCTAACCAACCAAAAATGGGGGTTCTGCTAACAAACCAGCATGGCCTCAATGACGTGTCCATAAATACATGCAAGTCTGGACCTGTTCAACCACGTT